AAATTAATAGTTGATTTATCAAAAATAACTAATGATACTATATTAAATTTTATTTTGATTGTACATAAATTCAAAAAAATTAATTACATTTAAATAACTTTCTTAATTAATCTAAAATGATTATTTTTACTTATGATTAGAAGAAGCATTTCGATTCGATAGTTCAAATATATTTTTTTCAACCATTAAAATCTATCTCATATAATATTATTTAAATAATTATCACAATCCCATAAAAGTTAGGTTTAATCTAATTCAACTTTAAAACAACAACAAAAAAAGCTTATTCGTTCGGCTGCATTAGGGACAAAAACGGGAAGTACTGTGCTTCCCACATTAAATTCAAATCTATAGTTATAAACACGACTTCCGAAAGAAATCTCACAAGTCACATTCCAGTTTCCAGGTCAGGTTTTGCCTGACTGATACACATTCAGATGGTAAGTTGAATGTAACAGAACCGATGCGCCATCATAGAGTCAAGTACATGTTAAGAACAACAAGTAATAATTCTCGTTTCATCATTCACTCACCAAATTCTCAATTCTTCCACCAATTTCACTCCCATTCCCACTCAAACAACAAATTAGAAACAGTTACAACCAATTCCCGCCAAGGCCTATTCCAAAAAGTTCTTCAAACTTACGCCTTATTAATAAACTCATCTCAACAACCAAGCCAAACAACTTTCTCAACCACATTATCATCATGCACAAAACTCGAAAACCTCCAGTTCGGTAAGTCAGTTCATATATGTATAATTAAAAAAGGATTCGAATCCGATTCGTTAATCCAGCGTAACCTCGTTCATTTCTATACGAAATGCAAATGTATGAGATCAGCTCGAACATTGTTCGATTCAGCATTGGAATCAGATTTGTTACATCTCGATACAGCTTCGTTGACAGCTTTGATTGCTGGTTATGTGAATGTTGGTTTGTATGATGAAGCACTCCACGTGTTTGATGAAATGCGGAGTGGTTTTGTTTTGGATGAGTTGGCGTATGTGACTGTTTTGAATGCTTGTGTGAATTCGGGGAAGTTGGATTACGCGTGTGAGTTATTCGATGAAATGGGTAGTTGTGATAATGTTGTTGTGTGGAATGTTATGATTTCTGGTCATGGTAAGAGAGGTTACTATAAGGAGGCGGTTAGGTTTTATAGAGAAATGAGGAAGAATGGTGTGGGGTCGTCAAGGTCTACGCTCGCAAGTGTTTTGAGTGCGATTGCTGGTTTGGGTGAGTTTGGTTATGGTTTGTTGGTTCATGGGGAGGCTGTTAAGCTGGGTTTTGAGTCGAGTGTTTATGTGGTGAGTTCTTTGGTTAATATGTATGGGAAGTGTGGAAGGTTGGGTGATGCGAAGAAAGTGTTTGATGTTGTGTGTGAAAGAAACGTTGTTACGTGGAATACGATTCTTGGAGTTTATGCACAGAATGGTTGTTTAACTGATGTTATGGAGTTGTTTTCTGAGATGATGGGTTCTGGAATTGATCCGGATGAGTTTACATACTCTAGCATTTTGAGTTCGTGTGCTTGCTTTGAATTCTTAGATATCGGTCGGCAGTTGCATTCGACTATTATCAAGAAAAGGTTTACCGATAATTTATGTGTGAATAATGCGTTGGTAGATATGTATGCTAAGGCTGGGGCTTTGAAGGAAGCCAGAAAACAATTTGAGCAGATGAAATATCGAGATAATATTTCTTGGAATGCTATTCTGGTTGGATACGTGCAAGAAGAAGAGGAAACTAATGCTTTCAACATGTTTCGGAAAATGAATCGACTCGGCGTTGTACCAGATGAGGTATCTATGGCTAGTATTCTTAGTGCTTGTGGAAATATTAAGGCACTAGAAACAGGAATACAGTTCCATAGCCTTTCAGTTAAGTTGGGTTTAGAGACAAACCTTTTTGCTGGAAGCTCTCTTATTGACATGTATTCCAAATGCGGACGAATCAAAGATGCACGTAAAGTTTTTTCTACCATGCCTGAGTGGAGTGTGGTTTCCATGAATGCCCTGATCGCAGGATATGCTCTAAAAGATGCAAAAGAAGCAATTAATCTTTTGCATGAGATGCAGATGTCGGGATTAAATCCATCTGAAATCACATTTGCCTCCCTCATAGATTGTTGTAAAGAACTTCCTAAGGTAATTTTAGGGATGCAGCTCCATTGTGCTATATTAAAGAAGGGTCTTTTATGTGGTAGTGAATTCTTAGGCACCTCTTTGTTGGGCATGTATATGGACTCACAGAGGATGGAAGACGCAAACGTTCTTTTCTCAGAGTTATCTAACCTAAAAAGTATTGTACTTTGGACAACCTTAATTTCTGGCCATATTCAAAATGATTGCAGTGACGAGGCCTTTAAACTGTACCGAGAAATGCGTGACCACAATATCTTACCAGACCAAGCAACGTTTGTTACTGTTCTGCGAGCTTGTGCGCTCTTATCCTCACTGCAAGATGGTAAAGAGATGCATTCTCTAATCTTCCATACTGGTTTTGACTTAGATGAATTAACTAGCAGTGCCCTCGTAGATATGTATGCCAAATGCGGAGATGTAGAAAGTGGTGCAAAAGTTTTTGAAGAATTGGCGTTAAAAAAGGATGCGATTTCTTGGAATTCAATGATAGTTGGGTTTGCTAAAAATGGTTATGCGGATAGGGCACTGAAGGTCTTTGATCAGATGACTCAATCAAATGTTTCACCAGATGATGTCACATTCCTTGGAGTGCTCACCGCCTGTAGTCATGCTGGGTTGGTTTCTGAAGGTCGCCGGATTTTTGACAACATGGTGAGCTATTATGGAATTTGTCCGAGAGTAGATCACTATGCTTGCATGGTTGATCTACTTGGTCGATGGGGTTTTCTTGAAGAAGCTGAAGGGTTTATTGACAAACTAGACGTTGAGCCTAATTCAATGATTTGGGCTAACTTATTGGGTGCTTGCAGAATACACGGGGATGAAAAAAGGGGACAGAAAGCAGCCGAAAAACTTATAGAATTAGAACCACAAAATTCTTCTCCGTACGTACTACTTTCTAATATGTATGCTGCATCAGGACATTGGGATGAAGCTAGATCTTTGAGGAGAACAATGATACAGAGAGAAATCCAAAAGATGCCCGGGTGTAGCTGGATTGTTGTGGGGCAAAAGACAAACTCCTTTGTTGCGGGTGATTTATCACACCCTAGTTCTGATGAAATTTCACATGCTTTGAAGCATCTGACAGCACTCATGAGAGACAATAGATTGCAGGAAGATGGAATTTACCATTCTGGGCAAGTTTGTTGATCAAAATAATGGGAAAAGAAAAAGATGGAAATAACTTATCCATTATTTTATTTTTAAAATGTTTCATATTGTTTTTGGAAAGAGATAGAAAGGAAATGATAATTTGCAAAGGTTGGATAGAATGTATTCTTATTAATTATTTTTTATAAAATTGGTAGCAGTATTATTTTTTCAAGATTAACAATTTGATAGAAGCATAATCATGGATAGAACATTATGGCGCAAGTTAATCCACGTAGCCGACTCCACTTAGTGAGATAAAGCTTGGTTGTTGTTGTTGGTAGTAATACTATTTGCATTATGTGATGCATGGTATTATTTACACTTATTTGAACAGGAGATTCAATTTCAGCTTTGCTTGGACTGGTTTCTTTCAGGCTCATAAGGTTAGCTGCTTTACATTTTTTAGTTTTATGATTTGTTGATATTAATCAATGGTATTAACTATGAAATATCTCTGAAGCTTTACATGTTTATTTTCATCATTAGTTGAATCATATCATAATGATGCAATTTATAGGGATAGGTCCTTTGGAGTTATCTTTTTCTATCAGTAGAGATCAAAGTTAGTACCTCAGAATTTACAAGACTCACACAAACATTTCACCAACAATGCACAAACATTACACCAACAATGCACACCAGCACTTGTTCTGACAACCTAGTGTATGAAAGATGAAATAGATTATATTTTTTACTGGGAGGTAACCATGAGTTAGTATTACAAAACAAATGTTTATAGTTATTTACATATCTACAAACACTTAATTTAAATAAAACTTTAAATTTTACAAAGATTTTTTTTTTTTATAATTTAAATTAACAATATTATATCTCATTTTGAAAAAATAGATTAATTTGTTAAAGGTATTGTTGTGTTATTTTTAAAAGAATTTTTTTTTATAGATGTTTTATATAGGAAAATAATAACTTTTATATACATAAATCATTTTTACAGCTTAGTAGGTTGAGTACAAAATAAAAAAAAATCCAACTTAAAATTTTCTTAAACAAAATAAATTACAGATATTCTTATAAAAAAATACATTACAAACTTAATCCACTGGCTAATTTAAAAAAAACTCGCTAGCTGTTTATAAATTATACTATATTATATATGACTATAATAATAATAACAATAATAATAACAATAATAATAAATTTTACCAAAAGTAAATAAATAGCAACATATAGCCTTAAAAATCTTACACTGTTTTGATCTAAAAGAATGAGTCAAACAATACGTGTGCATTTTGTACATAACTATAGGAGTTAGTTTCTAAAAATAAGTAGTTCTAATTAACTTTCATGATTATCGTATCTCAAATCACAACAGAGGACTAAATCACAGCAAAAGATATCCACTGAAATTGCTGAATGTTTTTAATCTATACAACAATCAACATTTTTCACTTTCTATATTGAGTTTGATAACAAGATTTGTTCTTTGATCTTGTCTTTCCATTACACATCCTCGTCTTTGCTGAGGTATTTCCTTAAACTATGTTTTTTCTCTTTACTTTCATCTTTTTATTGAATGCATGTGTTTCATATTACGACATTTATATATACTTCGATTATTTCAAGAGATTAATCTTTGTAGTTACATATGAATATGTTATTGTTTCAAACTAAAAGAAGCTGCGTTATTTCACCGATTTTCAATTTCTTGGTGTCTGCGTAACAGGAACACTGATAGAAGATGGCAGATTTGGAAAACATGCTTCTTGAGGCAGCAGGTAGAAAGAATTCTCCGGTGAGAAAGCGACAAAAGCTTCGAAACATAAGATCGTCGAAACACAACGATGCATCATTCTCTGATAATGGAAGTGATTCCAAAGAGGAAGACTCTGATAAAGGTGTTGGTAAAGGAAACAAAAGGCCAACAACAATTGTGTCCAATGTTCCGATGAAGAAGAGATTGGAATTGGAAAACAGCAAAAGAGGTAACAATAATAATATTGGTAATGAAGATAAAAACAAAGGTGGAGAAGGAAATGATTTGAAGGATGAAGGTGGTGCTGATAGCAGTGAAGAATCTGATGATGCTGGTAATGATCTTTACAAGAATGAAGATGACAAAGAAAGGCTTGCTAAGATGACAGAACTCGAAAGAGAAATGATTTTGTCTGAAAGAGCGACGGAAAAAGGCGACAGAGAGTTAAAAGAGAAAATGATCATGAGAATGAAGAGAGAAAACAGTAACAATGCACTTGCAAAAGGTTCTAATTCTAAGAATCGGTCATCACCCCGTCCCCAGTCTACCAAGCTTCGTTTGTCAGCTCGAAATGCTGAGAAAACAGCTGCAAAAGGCGATGTACTAAGCGAATTGCGCGCGAAGAGAATGAAGCAACAAATCACAGACCATCATGGAAAATCAGAAATGAAGAAAAAGAAAGAAACATCGGAAGTTAGTCGAAGTAGCTCAAGTGAAAGTGAGAGTGTTGTGAGATCAGAAAGTGAAAAAGAATCTTCTTCTGATGATGATGGTGAGTTAGTTGACAGTGATGATGATAAGAACATGGATGAATTAGACAAACCAACATTTGAAGAAATTAAGGAAATTACCGTAAGAAGATCAAGGCTTGTGAAATGGTTGAATGAACCGTTTTTCGAGGAACTAATAGTTGGTTGTTTTGTGAGAATTGGCATTGGAAAATCAGATAATGTACCTGTTTATAGACTCTGCATGGTTCAAAAAGTTGAGTGTGGTGATCCTAAGAAACACTATAAGGTAGAAAATAGAGTTACTCATAAGTACTTAATTTGTGTTTGGGGAAGTGAAAATTCTGCTGCTAAATTTCAAGTTGCTGTAGTTTCTGATTCTTCACCGTTAGAGAAAGAATTCAAACAATGGACTAGAGAAGTTGAGAGAACATGTAGCTACATGCCTAGTAAGAAAAACGTATCGGATAAAAAGGAAGCGATAAAAAGAATAAATACATACGTTTACTCGGCTGCTACGGTGAAACAGATGTTGGAGGAGAAAAAAGCCGCGCCATCTAGGCCATTGAATATTGCAGTAGAAAAGGATAAGTTAAAGAGGGAAATGGAAATAGCGAAGAGCAAAGACGACGAGGCGTGGATGGAGAGGATTATAGCAAAGCTGGCAGAATTGGAAGCAATGCGTCGAGCGAGAGAAAACGATGTGAAGGCTATTAGGCTTGATGAGATGAACAAAAAGAATCGCTTTGAGAATTTTAAAAACTTATCCGAGCATAGAAGTATGAACGCGAATTTGAAAGAGGGAGAGAAAGGGTATGATCCATTTTCAAGGAGATGGACAAGGTCGAGAAATTACTACAATGAAGATCAGAGTAAAGAGAGTAAAGAAGAAGGTAAAGGAGAAAAAGATGATAAGAAAGTTGGTGTTGAGGCGACAAAAGAATCATTGGAAGAAGCTGCTAATGCAGGGAAGTTGATTGATACAAATGCTCCTGTGGATGTTGGAACAGAATCAAACGTGTTGCATGATTTTGAGTTGTCGATTTCATTGGCTGAACTAAAGAAATTTGGTGGAACACAAGAAGAAAGAAGAAATGTGTTCTTTGATAGGAAACAGAAAATAGAAGCAACAATTGGTTATCAAGTACCTGAAAACGATGGCAGAAAACATCTTCTTACATTATCCATTAGTGATTATAAGAGAAGAAGGGGGCTTCTTTGAATTAGACATATGAAATACACGTCAATGATCGGTTGTGCACGTATTTTTTCATTATTTATTTAAACTTTTAATATTTCTAAAATAATACAAAAAAATGCAATACATATTAGAATATGCAGTTTATTAAATTGGCTAATAATATATATATTATTGCCAAAAAATATATGCCGATCATACCGATTCAGGTTTAAGAAGACTACAAAAAAAACAAGAATACAATAGGAGAAACTATAAAACTCTATTATAATAATCTAGCATTTTCTCGTTTTTTTCAGCTCTCTTCAAAACAATCTTTTTGATTTTCCTGTTGTTCAACGCATTCTTATTACCAACCATTTTGGAAGACACATTTGTTTTTGATATTCCAAATACGGTATATCGTTTTAGCCAGAATAGTTTTGATCACTTTTGCATTTGTGCCTTTTCCACGGGTAGTTTGAATGAGCCAAGCGAACTCTATATCCAACGCACCCGGATCACGAACAATATCAAAGCTATATAAGACTTGCCTCAAAACCTGTTTAATACGGACACATTCAAAGAACAGATGGCAACAACTTTCGAGTATATCGCAGAATATACATATACCATCAGTAGCTATACCATGCTGCATCACCCTATCCTTGGTCATCAATCGGTTTTGACATGGCTTCCAAAGAGTGAAAATCGCTCTAGGCCTAGCAATGTTACCATAGAACATAACTCTCTGGTCGACCTTTGGTTTGTCACCCCTCAACGATATATACATGATACTTGTCTTGTACTTTTCGTCAGTCTATAAATTCTGTCAAGCTTCAGAGTTCAGCATGCTGTCTCTATTCTTGAAAATGGCTTTTATAATCCAAGAACAATTCTGGCCAGGCTTGAAACCTTTTGCATCCCCTTATTTCATATAATAATGATGCAGGCACTTAATCCATAGAACATCTTTTTTAATCCAAATGTTCCATAACAGTTTACCAATTGTTGCTTTGTTCCAATCCACAAGTGAAATCAGGTTTCTGCCACCTGCAGAAACAGGGTCACAAACATGCTCTCAGGAAATTGGAGTTTTTCTGCTGCCCCCATTTGACCCAGGCCATAGAAATCTTCTACATAGCCCCTCAATATGAGCTACAACTTTCTTTGGCAATGGAAATATCTGCATCCAGTCATTAGAAATAGATAACATAACACTCCTAATTAGCTGAAACCTACCAGCATAAGACAATAATTTGGTAATCCAATGATTAACTCTTTACAACATTTCAATTAGAGGTTGACAGGTATGGAATCAAATACCCTAACTTTTTACCCTAAGATTCTATTTTGCATCCTCTACATAGTTTAGCATGCATTTCATCTTGCATTGTGTCCGAAATGTTAGTCAGAATAAATTTGTTGGACTTACAGACAAACCGGACTTAATTTATTTCAAATTCTGACCACATTGTATTTTTCCAATATGTTTATTTCGGGCTGATTATTTTGGTGTGTTTATTTTATTTTTTCGAACACTTTTTTTCTCGACCTTTTATGTAATTTTTTAAATCATTTTTATTTAAATAATCATTTAATTTATTTAGATTTAGTTAGGTATTTAATTTAAATTTTTATTTTGATTTAATTTATTTATTAATATTTTCTTTTTAAAAAAAATATAATTTTTAATTCTTTTTATTCTTGTCTTATCATAAAAAAACACAAAAACATGATTTTTAATTTTTAAAACTTTTTTTAATTATAAAAAACACAAAAACATAATTTTTAATTCTTTTTATTCTTATCTTATCATTAAAAACATAAAAGCATAATTTTTAATTCTTTTTATTCTTGTTTTGTCATAAAAAACACAAAAACATGATTTTAAATTTCTTTTATTCTTGTCTTACTATAAAAAAAAACATTTTGTTAATTGTTATTATCATTCTTGTCTATTTTCTAGTCCTATATATATGCATTAGAAAAAACAAGCAATCACACAAAAAAGAAAAAAAAAACACTCATACCTCATCTTCCTCACACCTAAACTACAAAGTTTTTCATAAACCACGACGTGGTATCGAGAGAAAGAGACTGAGAGAGCAGCGACGCGAGGTAAAAGGCCATTTGAGGGAGGTAAAATTGAAAACTCGGAATTTATTTTGAAAAACTGATGTTGTTTTGTATTTATGTTAATTTTATATTTGTCTTTGTAGTATTGTTTATAATGTCATGTTTTAGTGTTTTGCGTATATTTGTTAATGTAGTTTTATTAAGTTTGTAATTTAAGTATGCGTCATGTCATTTAGCTAGTCTATGTTTGTTCATAAATTAAGCTATAATATTTTGAGTTAAATTTAGAATTGCTTATGTGGTACTAATGTGTGTTATTTAAGTTTATGACTTGTGTGTTGCTATGCAAATTTTGTATTTGTTGTTTGGACATTACATATTTGTTTTTACGTGCTAATTATTTTAATTGTACCAATGTGAATAATTCATTTAATTTTTTAGACTTCATTAGTTTATCTTTTAAAATAAATAGTGTTAAGTTCGTGTCCTTTAGACTCCCATGTTTTCTTTCATTTGTAGCAAGTGTGTAGATGATTAAAGTGCATGTGTATATGAGTTAACGCATGTCAAGTGATGATAAGAAAAGTATTTGTATAAACATTTTGAATGTATTTATGTTGTATTACATGGTGTGGTTTCTCAAACATTGATTTTTTTTTTAATAATATTTTTTTTCTTTTTTTTTATTTGATTTTTCATAATCTAGAAAATTAAAAATATTTTTCTTGACTATTTGTTAATTGTTACATTTTGAAATTATTTTCTCTAATTAGTTTCTCTTTAATTTAATTCATATAATATTTCAAAAGTACCAAAGATATTTTAACTATTTATTTTCGTTTTTTTTAGTTATCTAGTTATTTGTCGAATATTAAAAAAATTTATAAAAATATGTTGTAATTATTTGTTAATATAAATATTAATATTTAAATTAATTAATAATTTCATGTTACATGTCTAAAGGAATGATCTTGTTCTTGACTTCATAGTCATGAACATGTTATTCATTTGCATCTTTTCCCTCTGCTTGATCCCTGATTCCTTTCAGGTTGATCAGCTTAAGATACACCCTCATATCCTCAGGCTAGATTCTCTTAGATTTTCAACTTAGACAACTTATAGATTAAATCCCCTATTCTCACAAGAGAATTAGACATGATTCATCTATGTAGTCGAGATATTATTCTCCTACCCCATAACATAGTCGAGAAAGACGTAAAATCTTTTCCGCTTGAGAGAGGTATGTGGCATACTCGTCGATTATAGATCTGGGTTGGAGCTCTTCTCTCAATGTGAAGCAAAGACCGCCTTCCATATGTTTGTGGCGGTTTAAGTTGAGTATTCTCCCTAAGATGACGAATTGTCTATTTTCCTAGAATCGATCAATAAACCTTCTCCCCCTGGAACCTTGACCCCGGTCAAGAGTTCCTCACCCTTATTGAGGGGAACTACGAATGCTTTGATTCCACTCCCATCAGGATACGTAGGAACAAGATGTGACTTCTTGGTGAGCATACTTAGAAATAAACCCCTTAGGTCACCCTTAGCAGATAAAATAACAAATAACACAATAAAACAAGAGGTTCTTGTAGAGTACTACAGATACTTAGGATGCTAATACCTTCCCTAAGTTTAACTAACCCTCGAACCTTAGATTCTCTAGCTTTGCATGGCATTGTATACTCATGGGTTATTTCGATCTTTTACCCTTCCCTTGGACAAATTAAAGACTAGTGGTGGATTATGATTTGTGATTCAAGTTAATCAATATCTTGGTATCCAATTCTTACCGTGACAGAAATGACGACTTCACTAGGGAACTATGATTTCTTATGGGTTCCCCCTAACTTGTTTATTTATGCTTATTATTTTGTATATATGTTTATCTATATATCTGTTTATGCTATGGGTTGTTATCTTTGTGTGGTGAGATAAGTTCTACACCCGAACTTGAGTGCACTTATGATAGGAATGTGATATATTCGAGAAGGCTTATAAGAAGTTGATTCCCGACCAAGCTGACTTGAGAGCACCGCTCAGTTGAGACCCTCTTGAGAATAGTACTGTTGAACGAGTATTCGTGAAAGCAGTTACTATTTTTGACCTAGGAGCCTGTGATACTTGGAACCTTTAGTTACCCTTAACTCAACTTGGCCCTTCTTAAGACATAGTGCGATGACTATGAGAGAGTAGTCCCAAAATAGTTGATACGCGATACTACACTCGAAAGAGATTCTCTTGAAAGACAGACTGATGACTTTGGGAACTTTTTTAGAATCTTTGTTCTGTAGGTACAGTAAACCCTTAGTCTACACCATTTGGGATGATAGACCATTACTCCAGACTCGTTGATTTTTCAAACCTAAGTTTTTGCCTGTTTAAGTGTATATGTGGATCTGTGTATACCCTTGTTTGAGCATACATACACTCATAAACATCATGTTCATAAAAGTTTCATGGAATTCAAATATTTTGTTTACAAACATCATAGGTCTTAACATTGGAATTTGAAATTATACTCTATTTTTCAATAAAATGAGATTTTCAGTTATTAAAAGTATTATCCACTTTGTGGTGCTTGCAAACGTAACATTTGAGTTTCTTGAAATTCACCTGCATTGGCACATTTGCATTCTTCATTAGCATTGCATTCTTTGCATCCTAGGTTCTCACTCTCACTTCTTCCTTCAAAGGAGACAAGCTAATTCATCAGTACGCTACTCGGGTCATTCAAAGAAAGAAGATGAAGAACATTGAGCAAGAAAACCATGAAGTCCGTAAGGAGGTGATTACTTTGAGGGTTGGTATGGAAAGACTCTCTGCTTTGGTTGAAACTCTGGGTATTGAACACTGTTTTACTTTGGAAGCTGAAGTACAAAAGTCAGTTCAAAGCTGTATTTTGTCTTTTGAAGATTCTAGACCCAATGTCTCAACAAGTTTGTTACCCAAGTATGGAAACGCCGAGG